AATTTATGGTGCCTAAAAATATCCGATTTTCCCTCTTGCCTTCCTTTTCTATTGATTAGACCTCTTCCCAAGCACAGCGAAGAAGTGTTCACCCATCTGCCAGTGGACTGGAATTTTATAAAGCTCAGTGCCTTTGGTGTAAAGAAATATCCTTAGTGTGTGGCCAAGTACTTCCTACTTTTCTAGTGTTAAAATAGCCTTTCTTTTACGAGAGGATTCTGATGGTACGTGGTGTTTTAACTCTTACTTGGCAAAGTAGAAAGTTTTAAAAGTGGGCAACGACTTTGTTGAAGCCCCAGGTTTCTCTTTGACAGTTCTGTAGACTCCAAAAGTCTGGACACCATTGGCACAAGGAATCGAGATGGCCCGTGGCGGAGGAAGGGGAATACGTTGCCATGTCTCGATTTCGTCAGCTGCTGGAGGCCACCGATCCGACATTTGTGCGCTGTCGACCGTGGGGTGTACTCACGATTTATTTCTCCTGGTCATTTGCAACTTCATTTTTTTAGTCCAAAATGAATTTGCATTCACTTAACATTCACCCATGGGCAGAATGGAGACACAGCTTAGAAACGTGTCTGGTGGTTGCACACGTGACCCCAGGTGGGTAAGGGTGGCACATCCGGTGCTTTTGGCAACGCGCATTTTGCTTTGTAAACCTTCCGATAGATCTCTGATAGTTCGTTGCTCTCGAGTTCTGTGCGCATTTAAGTTGTAGGGAAGGCGTGTGAAAAGTCATAGGTGTCAGAGCCCGGGCCGAAAGGCAGGTCCCCGCGGGAAAACCTGGCGTTTCTGGAATGTCACTGGCGATGTCACAAAGCTAGTCTCTCACGAAAAGGAGCCTCGATAAAGTCCTTGTTCATGTCGCCTCTGGAATGTACTTATTTCTAAACGGGTTAAGTCACCAGGAAACCCGCGGACACAGATTCTCCCGGAGCTGGACTTTAGTACACATGCTCAGTTCTGGAAAACTGGACGGAAAAAGGACGAGAAACCCAGCCCAAGAGTTATATTTTTATTTTAAATACCTTAGTCCGCGACTTCTAGAATTTGATTGACACGTGACATTGTGTAAGTTTAAGGTGTACAATGTGATGATTCGATACACTTAAACATTGCGAAATGGTCGGGACGGTAGAGTTAGTGACACGTGCGTCATCTCACACAGCTGCCATTGCTTTGCTGTGGTGAGAACACTTAAGTGTTACTATCTCAGCAGCTTTGACACACGTAGACTACAGTACCGCTGACCGTGGTCGCCACGCTCTGCGTTAGACCCTGCACTTACTCATCTTCCAGTTGTAGGTTTGTGCCTTTTGCCAGCAGCTCCCCGATTCCTCCCTCGGTCCCTGGCAACCACTGTTCTGCTCTTTTTGCTGTGAGTTTGACTTTCTTAGATTCCACGTGTGAGTGATATCATATAGTCTGTGTCTTTCGCCGTCTGATTGATTTCACTTAGCATAATGCCCTCAGGGTCCGTCGTGTTGTCACAAATGGTAGCATTTCTTTCTTTCCCGTGGCTGAATAATATTTCATTATGTACACACACCACATCTTTACCCCTTCGCCCTGGGATGAACACTCCAGTTGCTTCCACGTCTCGGCTTCGGCGAATCACGCTGCAGTGAGCGCAGGAGTGCAAGCATCTCTCTGAGATCCCAATTTCATTTGCTTTGGATAGGGACCCAGATGTAGGATTGCTGGATCAAAAGGTGGCTCTATATTTGATCTCTTGAGGCACCTCCATGCTATTTTCCACAGTGGCTGCACCAGTTTACATCCCCAGCGGTGCACGAGGGCTCCCCTTTCCCCACGTCCTTGCCAACACTCGTTATTTCTTGTCTTTTTGATAATGGGCATTGTGACAGGCGTGAGGTGATAGCTCATTGTGGTTCTGATTTGCATTTCCCTGATGATTAGAGATGGTGAGCCCCTTTGGATGTACCTATTCGCCATGTTTATGTCTTTGGTTAAATGAGATGTTTTCTGTTTTTGGTTGTTAAGTCGTATGAGTTGCTCATATAGTTTAGATGTGAACCCCTTTTCAGGCATGTGGTTTACGAGTATTTTCTCCCATTCTGCAGGCTGCCTTCTCACTTCGTCGATTGCTCTCTTGCTGTGTCGAAGTCGATGATTAGAGATGGTGAGCCCCTTTGCATGTACCTATTGGCCATGTTTATGTCTTTGGTAAAATGTCTATTCGGATCCTCTGCCCGTTTTTAAATGAGATGTTTTCTGTTTTTGGTTGTTAAGTTGTATGACTTGCTCACATAGTTTAGATGTGAACCCCTTATCAGGCATGTGGTTTACGAATATTTTTCTCCCATTCTGCAGGCTGCCTTTTCACTTCGTCGATTGCTCTCTTGCTGTGTCGAAGTTTTTAGTGCGATATAGTCCGATGTATTTATTTTTGCTTTTGTTGCTTGTGCTTTTGGTATCATATCGAAAAAATCGTTGCTAAGACCAGCGTCAAAGAGATTTTCCCCTGTTTTCTTCTGCGAGTTTTGTGTTTTCAGGTCTTAAGTCTTTAGTCCATTTTGAATGAATTTATGTTGCATCCTCCTGGCGAGCATTACATAACGCTCTTCTCTGTCTCTCGTCTCCGCTTCTGAGTTAGTCTGTTTTGTCTCTGGGAGGAGAGGGGTCTCCGCCCTCCTTCGGTTTCCACTCGTACGGATTATCCGCCCCCCTCCCCCCTTCACTTGGCGCATGCGTGCATCCTCAAAGCGAAAGTGAGCCTCCTGGAGGTGGCCTGTCGTTGGTTCTTGCTTTTTCTTTTCTTTTTTTCCTCTAATCCATCCAGCCATCCTATGCCTTTTGATGGAAGAGACTAATCCGTTTATGTTCAGAGTGATCACTGGCCGGCGAAGGCCGAGGCCCTCTTTCCGGTTCGCCGTGGCCTGACCCTTTGCGAATCGATGGCGTCCCGCAGTGGCGCGCTGTGCTCCCTCCTCCTCGCGGATCCGCAGCGGGGTTTCGCTTTGTGGTTACCGCGTGTGTCTACATCCTCCTTTACCTAATTATTTTTTGTTTTTTTAATCTTTGATAAAACTTTACCTTGCAGCTGTTACTGTTTTTTAAACTCTGATATTTTTATCTTATAGTTTCTGTTTCTCAAAATACCAGCTATTGGCTTCATCTGCCAGTTGTACTTCTTTCCTAATAAATTACTTCTTTTACCTTTCTACTTTCTACTTCCTGCTTTAAAACATTTTTTTTTTTTTTTACCGTCGTTTATCTAGCTTTCTGATTGGAGTGGCGGGTTCATGATTTTCCGTCTTCCGTACCAAATGGACTTGACACTGTCCTGTAGGCACAGCTTTAGCTCTACAGCACAGAATGCCAGGGTCCTCGCGGTCGCCGACGCCAGAGTGTGTGTCGCTTGGATGCTGAATTTCTAAATACACTTGAAAATTCGTTTAGTGATTTTCTATTTTACGTTATTTTTTGCATTTGCCTCATTTTTTTTGAGCATGCCTTTACAGAGAATATTTTGTTTCATTTGGTTCAAATGTGTCCCTTGCGAGCAGCTGTTAGCTGATTTTTTCAACGTAATTCCGGGGTTCTTTCACAGGAGACTTTATCTCCCTCACGTTTGTCGTCATTACCGTTACGTTTAGTCCCACGAACTCCCCTGTCCTCCCCCCTTCCCCTCTCTCGTCGCCTTTTCTTGACCTCTGACCTCTGCTGGAGCTCTTTTTGTTATCACCACACGCATATCTACCCTGGCCTTGGTAATTGCTGATTCTCTCCTGCACACACTGGTAGCCACGCTGCTTGGCACAGTGAGGGGAGTGGCCGGCGGGGACGCGGGAAGAACCCTGTTACCGCCCCGCTTTAGAGTCGGGCCCACGGCCACTTCCCTCCGGGATCGCTGTGCGCTCTGGGCACTTTAAGGAAGTCACCCTCACCCAGGGACGTAACAGGATGGCGCGAGGGTGCAGAGGTCTGCACCGCAGGACACCACGAGGCCTGTGGCGCATGCGTCAGGGTCTCCCCAGAGCGCCGGACCGGTGGGGCCGCGCATGCGCCACCCTCGGGTACCTTCATGCCGCTCGTCCTCCCAGGTGAGCGCAGGCGGGACAGGAGCCGGCGAGCTCCGAACGAGCGTGTGGGGGACGCCCGCAAACGACGGTGCCAGGAAACGACTGTGAGGCATGTCCCCCCGGGGCCCGGGGCCAACATCCGTTCAGGACGCCCGGCGCTCGCGTGGCGCCGAGATAAAAATACAGACGGCCACGCCCCCTGAACGGTCAGCGTAAAGGCAGACGGACGGGGACAATACCGTAGCGGTGTGCTAGGCCTTCATAAGTGCCACTCTAATGCTTGGGACAGCTCTGCAAGGCGGAGGTCCTTCCTTCGTGTCACCGATGAGGACAGCGAGGCGAGGACCGGCCGCTATTTGCCTGAAGCCACAGAGCCAGTGGCGGTGGCCTTAGCTGGCTCCTTCCTCTCCCCCATGCCTGTCCTCTGTGCGTACGGGACAGTAACGGAAAGCAGTTAAGCCCTCAAAAAAGTAAAAATAAAAGCTAGAACATGGCTGGAGCGAGGGCGGAAACTGAAGTTGTTCAGGTCTAAAACGCACGCCGTCGGCGGCCGCGCGAGGCCCGGAGCCGTGCGGTGCGGCCCCGCGGCGGGGCTTTGTCTTCACCGAGTTCGCCCGCGTCTCCGCCTGCGCTTCGGGACGTGGAAACCGAAGTCTGTTTCTAGTCTCTCACCTGCAGGGGTCAGTTTATCTAAGCGACTGTCACAAAGTGGCTAAATAAGAGCTGCCGTGAATTTAACCTCCTTCGGATTTCCTGGATTTCGAGCCTTCGCTGGGCAGAGCCTGGAAGTGTTTATTGACCCCGCGGGTTGGGAAGCGGGTTAAAGCTGCTCAGGAGCTGCGTTTAGCGGCATCTCCGCCCCTGGAGAAGCCCGCAGTGAGGCGCGTAAAAAAAAAGCCACCTGGGCCGCCCGCCCGCCCCCGGGCCCCTCGCTGGCACGGGGTCTGCACCCACCTTCTCTTCAAAGAATTTTCTCCTCAGCTTGGCGTCCGTGGGAGGCAGCGTCCTCCTCAGGTCCCGGTACCACTTCCTCACCACGTGTCCCCTCCAGCAGGCTTGGATCCTAGAATGCGGGCGTTGGCGAGTGACTCGGTCAGGGCGGCGGGCACAGGCACGGCAGACCACGGGGCCGAGGGCCGATGGCCGAGGAGAGGGCCAAGTCCCCGGCCGTCAGCACAGGCTTGACCCCTAGGTGTCCCAGGGCGCAG